ATACCCAGGAGTCATTCTTGATTCTTTTTCTTTCATTATCTACAAATATACTCCTTCAGCAACTTCTGTCCATTATACTTCCAAAATATATTCTTAATTCATCAGCTCTTTTCTGTCCCCACTGCCCCCATACTAGGTCAAGCTACTGTCACTTATTACCCAAACTCCTGTGACAACTGGTCTGATTCTTCACAATTCTGTATACAGCAGCCAGTGATCCTTTGACAATATAAATCAGATCTTGTCACTTACTTGGGTAGCACCTCTTTACGCTACACTTGTAATACACTTACCACACTTCCTACTTAGGTCTTCCGATCCCACAAGTCCTCACAGGACTGGCTCTTCCCAACAAGCTGGACTTTCTTCAAGTTAATTTTTTATAGAGATAATTCCTCTATATTAGTTTGCATCATTTCATCATCTTGACAACTAGCTGAGATGACTTTCGTTAGGCTACTTGTTTAGTCTCTTTTCCTCCAGCAGGGTATGTTTCATCGGTACAGGGACCTAGAATATCTCCTGGCACTAGAAAGGCATTCCACAAATATTGACTGATTAGGTCTAATTCCAGTTCTCAGACCTACCATCCTATGCTGCTCCTTTGAACTCATGTCAGTCTCATTAAATATCTCTAAGGCACTTTGGTTGTGTGGAACGTAGAGTCAGAATTGAGTGTCCTTTCTTTGCTGCTTCCCAACTGTATAACCGTGCAAGTTGCTTATCACCTTTGAGTCTTAATTTACTTCCTGTGCAATGGGTAGAATAGTCCTACTCTGTAACATTGTGCAGGAATTAAATGACATCATTTCTATAAAAAGCAGAGCAGAGTGCTTGGCCTATGTGTTTAATTATTCTTTTCCCTTGAGTCTTTTGCAAATTATAATAGCTAATATTGAGGTGTATATTCTGTGACACTATTATAAGAGTTTTACATGGATTAACTATACAATAGAAACTCTATACAGTAGGAACTATACATAATCCTTTTACAGATGAGGAAACTAAGCCACAGAGTGGTTTAAGCAACTTGCCTAAGGTCACACAAGTAGAAAACTGCAGAGCCCAAACTGGAATCCAGCAATTCCATCCAATTTCAGAGGGGAGAAAATTGACTGTCTTAATTTTGATCCCACGACAAGAAATATATTTTACATTGTAATCCAGCACACTTCATATGAACTAAAGTGGAAACAAAAGCTTTACAATTTAACACCCTTATTATATGTAGCATATTCTGATAGTTTCTCTTCCAATTTAATTTTAAAATGATTTGGACCAACTTACTGATTTCATGATCTACTATTAAGTCAAAAGCACATTTTGAAAAACCATTTTTATCTAAATTAAAATTAATCCAACTACTCTTACCTTCCAGCTACTTCAGCCTTTACTAGGAAAACTCTAATGGTTATCAGTCTAGATTTTTATAATTTATTTAAAATTTGAGATAAAGTCCTTATTAGTGAAGATGCTGATCTCCCAAGACTCTGATCTATTCCCCATTGCAAACCTTCTTGCAGTTTTGGAAAATCCATGCTGTCAGGTGAGATTGAAGCAGTTCTTACACTTTCCAAAAATTATTTACCTCTATTAAAGCTCTTAATACAAGTTGCCCTGTGTTGCAACTATTTATGCATGCCTTATTTATGCATGAGGGTGGACTGTCACACCCTCGGGGCAGAACCTTTTATAAACGTTCAGTCCCAAATGGTAAATTGGAGACATAGAAGGTGGTGATAAGGAACTTTTTTTAAATTAAAAAAATATTTATTGAGAAAGGGGTGAAGGAACAGAAACATCGATCGGTTGCCTCTTGCGTGCCCCCAGCCAGGGACCTGGTCTGCAACCCAGGCATGTGCCCTGACCAGGAATTGAATCAGCAGCCTTTCAGTTTGTGGGACCGTATCCCACTCACTGAGCCATGCCAGTTAGGGCAAGAACTCTGACCCTTCTTAGGTGTCAGCTGAGAATTTGAGAATCAAACAAGAGACCACCACCACACTGTCTTCTATATTCTTATTTAAACATCTGAAACTTCTTCCCACTGAAGTGTTGCTGGTGGTTTACAAAAATCCTTCTATGTGGACAACTTGCATATGCCCTGGTATTAATTTCCCATTGCCTGTATTTTTCAAGGCTAAGAGAACTTAACATTTCTACCTCTGACAAAAGTTTCTTACTGTAGGCAGACATTTCAAAAAAAAAAACTCAACTGAAATGGTTTCTGGATGAGTGGATGTACCTTAACATTTTCTCCTGGTCTTTCTCACTCTCAATCCTGGTCTCCATGAGTTTGTGTGAGCTAGTGTTTATTTCTGTAGATACGGTGAAGTAAACTTCTGAGTGCAGGCTATGTGTCAAAAAGTAAATAAATAAAACAAAGAAAAAGCCCTTGACACAGAACTAGCAGTTTTAAGGCAGGAAATTCTTTCAGAAGGTATGAAGCTGCTCTGAACTTTTCCACCAAGCAATAAATTTCCCCACCCTTAGGGAAAAGTTATCCTGGTGTTGTTCTAAGCTAGCAGATGTCGAACAGTTAGAAAAGGGAACAAACAACTGGGGGAAGTATTACCACCTGTTTATGCTGACTTTTACTAAAAAAGACTGGCAACCAGCTGTTGAGAGGTTATGGATAGCTAAGGTGCGGATAGGAAATGCTGACTCAGATTGAAGCTAGTGTTCGGCTGTTTGGAGGGGAAAAGTGCCAAATACAGTATCATTTCCAGATGGCCAAGAGGCAAGGGCAAGACAATGTATACTGCTAATACAGCATGCCTCGCCGTACTGCATGCATGGGGCCCTGAATTTGAGTCATGAATTGAGCTGTTAGTTGCCTGTAGTCATTTTCTCTTTCCTTATTGACTAAAACCCACCATTATTCGGGGCAGTAATGTCGAAGAAAAGATGACATTTCTTGGCTTCTGTTATAGCCAGCTGTTGTCACCTGAGTTCTAGCAGTGTTGAGTGTGATTTCCAGGAAGACTCTTTTAGGTGTGTTGACTCAGCTAGGTTTGCCCATTTTGCTCTTGCCCTCTTCTTCATGCTGCCAGTGATTTCAAATGATGCCTGATGGTCAAGTGCCTATTTCGGACCATGAAATGACCTGAAGAATGGAAATATTGTTGAAGTGCAGAGGAGCTCTATATTGGTCTTGGATTGCCAATGCATGGAATACTTTTCTGAGATACATTTCTTGTTTAACCTTTTGCTGATTTCCTCAGCAGTTTTTGGCATTCATGTAACAAAATCTTCCTATCCTCCAAAGTATGGTCAATCCTGTTACCCAATTTTACCTTTTTAACAACAGTGTAAAATTCCTGAGGCATGTGTTGTATCAGACGAGGAAACCAGAGTTGGAACACAGCAAGTCTTACCTAATGCCACATACCTGGCTGTGTGGACAGCAGCAGGCTTGGGAAGCCAGGTCACCTCCCTCCTAGGATTTTAAAAGCATGGTGGCAATAGGTGGCAAATTTCCTTTAAAAATGATTTTGAATGGTTAAGCAGTGGTTATTTTTAAGGGCAACCATTTAGGGGCAACTTATCTCTTTTGCCAATGGAAGACTGAAGATTGTCTTATCATGGGGACTGAAGTCATTGACTTTAAAATCATCAGACTTCATTCAAGTTGTCTCCAGAATGCTACTGTTAAGTTAAAATTACAACTCATTGTATTGTTATACATTAAAGGAGCTGAATTCTCAAACAGGCTAAGCCACATTTTGAATAAACAGTTAGTAAAATAAATGCATTACTTTTAAAAGCACAACAAACTTGATAATTTATGTAGCGCTGACAAAGTCTTTCAGGTGAAAAAGACAGAGGAAGGGCTTTTTTTTTTCTCATTACAAAGCAAGTAAAATTGAATAGGGTGGATTCAACATAAAAGTTTTAATACGGCAGATGTCAAGCAAGCATATTGACTTCTTAAAAAACAAAGAAAATATAAAAGTTTAATTACAAAAACACTTATATGGAAAACTTGGCATTTTAATAGTTTCAAACATATGTACACATTTTTTCCCTAAAATTTTAATTTTGTTAGAAATAAAACACTTTTGTCTCACTTTCCTCAGCTGCCCCTTGTGTTTTAATAAAAAGAAATCTGAGACACTGAATAGGCAACAACTTATTTCTTGAGAAGAACATAAGTGCAGTAATATCTACAAGTTTATTGGGAAACATGAATTACATGTCATTTTTGCTTGTAATCTCATTTGCCACCTCCTGGTTGGGCAACAGAGAGAACACACAACACAGACCTTCATTATGGGACCTGATAGTGCCAGCATTTCAAAAGGAGGCTGGTTATTATGGAAAGTGATTTCAGACTGTAGGCTCTTTCAAGATCTCATGCATTCCTCAATATGCAGATGTTTCAAGGCCATGTCAGATGTCCTATCCAGAATTAGGAGAATGATGACCTCTGGACTCAATTACAGCCTTTTCTGGTCAACAGCACTCTAACAAAGCCACACAAAACTGACACAAGGGAGAAAGGGAGAAAGATCAGGAGGAAGGAAGGAAAAAACAAAGTATCTGGCAGAAGGCAGATACAAATTTTCAGAACTGGCTAGGATGTCCTGCTGCTATAACTGTGTTCTAGGTTGGACTTAGCAGGCAAGGAGTCTGAAAGAAGTGTCAGGACCAGCAGTGACAGGTAAGATCAGGAGAAAAGGAAAATAAGAGGAAAAAAACAGGTGAGTTGTCTAGGTTTGTAGCAGTAGATAATGATGGGCTCTTACTCTAAAGAATTGCCAAATACTGATAATGTGGGTTTCAGTGCATGGTAATTTGAAGTGTGTTCACATAAGACATTAAAAAAGGCTGTTTTTTCCTCCCTTGGCTGGGTAGCTCAGTTGGTTAGAGCATAGTCCTGATACGCGAAGGTTGCAGGTTTGCCTGGTCACAGCACATATAAGAATCAACCAATGAATGCATCAATAAATGGAACAACAAATCAATGTTTCTCTCTCCCCGTCTTCCTCTCTCTTTTACTTAAAAAAAAAAAAAAAAATTACAAAGGCTGTTTTTTGTTGTTCTTTTATTTCCTCTGAGCTATTGAAATCAGGTAGGGAGATGGTGGGAAGACAGGATGGTGCAGCAGTGTGACAGGGGGTTTCTGGTTTGCACCCTGACCTGTGAGCATGTTGTGAAGAGGCCACACTTCCACCTGCTTTAGTGGTGTGGTGCCTGGAAAATGGTCTCAGCATGCCTGGCTTTGGTTCCAAAAGTCAGAGCTGCAAATGCCAGCCTTGTGCTGTAGAGCATCAAGACAAAACCAAACCCTTAGGTAAGAATCAGAAGCCCCTCTTCCCTTTCTGTGTATGTGTGTTTTTTAAAAATAATTTCACTTACTAAGGGGGGAGAAAAAAGAAAAGTCTGTCCTTTTGACATAGATTCTACAGTGTGGCTACAGAAGGAAGACAATGGACTTGAGAATTCCCCTGTGATGACATCTCTACGTATCTACACCCATGAATCAGTATACCTGGAGCAGACAGAGTCAGTTTTTACTTGTGATAAACTTTAGGTTTTCTTTTCAATGCCAAAAGAGAAACTACTTTTCCTGTTCTCTCCTATTTACCAATTATCTTTTCCTTAAAAAAAAAAAAAAAAAGTTCCACAAGACATTTGTCAACAGATAGAAACAGAACAACCTTGCTCGGGCTGGAATGCAGGGTATGTGCAAGAGCAAAGCTCAGAAAACAGCATGCAGTACCGAGGAGGAAGGAAAGCGTATTATCCTTGGGGCAGCAATCACAAAGCCTCCACAAGGGCTGGAGTGAGGGCTGGCACCCACCAGGCACTGTGTCGCACAGGAAACAGCACCCTGCACAGACCACTGTCAACAAGAAGCCCATTTCTCTGGGGTCACAGCAGTGCAAAGATGGTGGAAGACTGGGTCTGTCCAGTAAGAGAAACTCTCCTTCAGTGCCCTGCTGATCAACAATGCCCAGAGGTCAGAAAATGGAGATGTGTAATTTTGTGGGGGTAAAGGGAATAAAAAGATAACTCCCAAATGCATTAAAAAAGTGACTGGTAGATAAGAAAACCAGAGTGTCACTGATTAAAAGGTCCAATCTGAAGTAGAACAATGAGAAGTCTTCCTTTCTACTGCAGAAGATGTCAGCAGCATATATGCAGTTCCAGAAAAGCAGATAGGAAACTGAAGACTTTGCAGAGTGGTTGCACACACTCAAAACTTCGCAAGGGTGATTCCAAAGGAAGTTCATAAACATGTTCTTAATATTCCTTTTGCTGCTCCTCATATGGCTTCCTGGGGTGAAGGCATTTAACACATAGCTGATAGCTCCTGCATAAGCAGAGTAATCTGTACTCTTCTGCCTCCACTCAGTTCAAATATCCACAGATGGCTTCTCATTCCTCACAAATCTAACCACTTACAGAACATCTCGGAGCTCTAAGACCTGTAGGAGAGGGAGGGAGGGTGGCAGGGAGGGGGAAAGAGAGAGAGAGGGGAAGAGAGAGAGAGAATGGGAATTTAGGAAAATTGTTCAGATGAACACAGAAAAGCAACTATAAGGGACAAATCTGATGATGGAAGAACCAGTACTTTAGTCCAAAGAATAAATGGTCAATCAAAATCAATTTTCTTCAAGTATAAATCTAAGGATTTCTGCATGTGCAGGAATGTATTATGTGCACATGATCAATTAATTTTGTTACAATGATAAAAATGTAATCGCTTAAGTTTTTTTCCAACCCTCAAACAGCCTAATATTTATCATTTGGTTTGACTGAAATCAAACAACATAAAAATGTCACCTCTCAACATGAAATCACCCTCAAGTCTTCCTTCCAGTGCCATTTTTTTTCTAGGTACAAGTTAGCTACAAAGAAAGATGCCAGCTGGGGAATTCTGCCTTTATAAACCTGTAAGAATAATTTTTTAATTGGCTGACCGAAATTTTATAACATTAATTACTGGATTATAATTTTTTACCTATTTATTTTAATGCTCTCATTCTTAAAATTTTTAGTGCTTTCCCCTTACATCCACTCTCACCTTCTTATAGCCATGTTTTAGCAACTCCATTGAACCAGTCTTTTGAGAAATGTGTTCTAGACCTGGATTCTGCATTCATCTACATGGGTATTGTGTATTGGAATTTCTAAGTTACCTTCTAGCACTATTGTGCTCCTCTAAAATGGGAGACCATTAGCTTCCCTTCACTCACTGGCTCCTGATAGTCAATGAAACTTTCGCTAAGCTTATGTCAGAGTACATAAATGTACCACGAATACTAAGGACATTGGGCCTAGCTGTCTGTACACAGCTGTATAATAAGGCCAAGCCAGTATTAATCACAATCTTTATATTTGTTTTGTTTGACAGTTTTGAGGGTCTGAGGAAATATCCAGTCTTAATTATGATTGCATGACTAGAATGTAAAAATCTACAGTAATAAAATGATTCACATTTTCAGGTATTATTTTTTTCAAGGGCAAAGTATTTGCAGTTTGAAATCAAGGATTATGATAAAATTCTAGGTTATCAAAGACACTCCAGAAAGATACTATGATTTCTATCTCTAAGATTAGTAAAGTGTTAGGATCATCTTATTGGCAAAATGCTTAAAATGGAAAACCACTTTTAGCTCAAAATTTGCAGTAACTGCCCTATATTTATGTGAGGTGACACCATGTTATCAGTTATTGTGTGCTTTCACCATCTTCCACACTGTTTCTCCTCCCAGCTCTCTTTTCAAGCCTATAAGAGTGCTAATTGAAAACACTGTGTGAAAATGAGAAGGATAATGAGCTTCTGAAAATCCCAAGCCTGGATTTACAAGCTGTTCCCTTCATAAACAGCAGCACTAATGCTTGTGCTTTATTCTGCAGGGAGCCCAGTCATCTCTTATAAGTACAGTCTCTTCCATCTGACTACTCACTAGAAAAACAGTAATCCTTACTCCATTAGAGGATGGCTTAGACTGAAGTATAAAAATTACCTTGTACAGTTATCATTCAAAGTCATGGTCAAGAAGGATATAGGCTATTGCTTTTGCCTCTGCTAGCAGATGTTACCTCATTAGATAAAGAATCATGGGTTTTATTTAGTCTTATACATGTTCCTCAAGGTCCAAACCATGCTAGAATATGAATATGACTGTGCTCACAGAGGTACCTGCAGGAAACATATAAAAGATTCCCCCATGACTGGCCATTCTAAGGGGCGTATCCTGCTGCCCACTTATTTTAGTATTCAGGTAGTCACCACACCATATGGTCCAACCATAGGATTTCCATAGTTCATATGTCTGTAGGTATAGAACAATTTAATCGGTAGACTAAAGAGCTGTCACTTTTGTGGCATTGCATACTAAAAGGTACTTCATTTCTCTAGGAATATGAATGAAAAAATGTCAGTTCTATTTAAGAAATGATACCCGATGACTGATCATTAGTATCAAAATGTTTACATGGGCAGATCCCTTCTGGAAATGTACTTTTTGTTTCCTCTAAAAGGACAGAACACATACTACTAGTAATTTGTTGCCTATATTTTTAAAAAGCTGATTTTCTCTCTCCTCTCTTTTTTGCTTATTGAGAGTCTGTTTTTTATTCCATTTAATCAGGGAACTGTTTCACTGTAAGCTTAGTCCATATTAACATTTAACTTGTAACAGTTACTCTGATATTCAGTGGTGAGTGAAAAGTTTCTTATGCAGGCTTACACACACGCAATGTCTCACTGACTATTATTCTAAGTTATTATTAATATTTTCCAGGAAAAAGGAATCTTAAAAATTAAGTGATATTTATTTTTTCCTTGTATTTAAGTGCATTTTGGGGGGTGGGTTCTTCAAAGTTCCTCACTCATTCTTCAAAACTCTTTGAAGACGCTAGCACTTGAGAACACAGCTAATGAATGACGATATATATATCCAATGTCCAACCACACAAAAAAAGTCATGCTCCTTCCATTAAACCACTCTGAGGCATACATGAGAAAAACCGTTTTGATTCTGTTTTCTAACACTATTTACTACATTTATTCACGATACAACAGGAATCTTAATGTCTCCAACTTATTTATTTAGTGTTATTCCAGGGTTTTAGTAGTATTGATAAAAGAGTAATGCAATCTTATTTCTGAAGTCATGATGGCATATATGAGGGGGGACCCCCCAAAAAACTGGAATTATCTTTTGGAGAGTGGGTTCCTTGCAGTACAGGCTTCTACCACTAGGTGTGTGTTCTAGGAACCCATTTGTATCAGTATACTAACTGGTGGTGTTGTGAGAGGCTGTGTTCGGTTTCAGTGAATTTTTTTGAAGACTCAATGCTTGCCTATTTCATGGTGGGCGATTTACAAGCACACCTGCCCTCACTGTGCTGAGTGTTCAGCAGTTTTTGACTAAAAACAGCATGACTCTGTGCCCCACCCTCCTTATTCACCCGATGTTGCCCTGAGTGACTCTTTTTGTTTTTTTTTTTGGTTTCCTGGATGAAAAACATGCTCAAACGGAAATGTTTTGCTGATGTGGAAGAGGTGAAACAAAAAATGGCAGAAGCACTAAAAGGCCTCAAAATTGACGAGTTCAAAACTGTTTGGAGTAGTGGAAAAAACATCTCAATAGGTATATTGCATCAAATGGAGAGTACTTTGAGGGTGACTGAAGTTTAAGTATGTAAAATCTATACACAATTTTTTATAAATAAATTCCTGTTTTCTTGGGGGGGTCCCCCTCCTCTTCTGGTATTTTATCAGTGAGCACTCACCATTCCTTAACGATCAAGCCTGTTCACAACTTCTCGAACTGTAGCTATGAAGTTTTCATTGTCTTGGGGATTAGCTAAAATAATACTATGCAGTCTGTTCATGTATGAGTCAATGGTGTCCAGTGTAGGTGTCTCTCCACTTCCTGAAGTGAGATAAGAAAAAGTAAGAAAATCTTCCCCGTTTGGTTTGACCAAAACACAGTTAAGTGAATCCATAGCAAAAGAAATTATGACTCTAATGTGGTCTGCTCCACAGACTAAATTTTAATTTCAGAGGAGAGACTTTTTTAGACCTCAAAGTAGTGAAATCTACATACTCTATCAGGGCAGTCAAACCCATGGCCTGTGAGCCACATGTCGCCCATCATGGCTACAAATGAGGCCCAACACAAAATCGTAAATTTACTTAAAAACTTATTTTTTGCTTATCAGTTTTCATTAGTGTTTGTGTATTGGCCCAAGACAACTCTTCTTCTTCCAGTGTGGCCTAGAGATGCCAAAAGGTTGGATGCCCCTCCATAAACAGATGGGTATATAAATGCTGTATAATATGGATTAGCTGCATATAAAAAAGGTTAGAGACTCTCCTAGTTTTCTTCTGTAACTTACCTCAACAAGAAAGAATATATAAGTAATACTAGTATTTATTTTCTTCTTCCTTCCCATTAAAACTCAATTACAGAGCAAGCAAATACATACAAGAAAAGCCCTCTAAATCAGGATTTATTATTATTCAGTTTCCATTGTCTGAATATCAAATTAAGCCTAATAAGAAAGTAAATGATATTAAAATACAATAGGAAAAAATTTAAGTGACCAGAGAACCCTAGATTTCAAGGAATTATTAAACACAAAGACCCACAGAAGACCCTGAAGGGAAAAACCTCTTGTATTTTTGATTTTCATCTTTGGGGGAAGACTTCAGCCTCACCACACTAATACCAACATAAACAGCACCTCTCATTTTCTGAAGTGCTCAGGTAAGGATGACATTACCAGGCAAGGGCATGCTGGCAAAGCTGCTGGTCAGCACCTGCCGTAGGGTCTCCAGGTGCTGCTGTAAGACAGTGCTGCGGCTGCGCTCCTGGATCACATCCACCTCCAGCTTCTCCACTGCGGTGCGCATGCTCTCCACGTGCTTCTGCAGGGCTGCATTCCTCTCCTCAAATTCCATGTTGGATTTGCGAAGCTGGCGGAGCTCTGCCTCCCGAGCTGAGGACACGCCCCCCCCATACACACAGAATACATGGGGCACTCCTCTCGGAGTCCCAGTGACTTTTCCAAGGACATTCAGCTTAGCTCTCTCTAATTAGCTAGCCTACCTCATCTCCCTATTCTTATTATGGCCTTCCAGATAGCAATTTCAGCAATACCTTCCCAGAGGTATTTTAATTCTAAAAACTGATCATACTCTGTACTTAAGTTTGCAAGGAACAGTTGCAATTCCCAGTATTTTTGTTTGTTCTTTTAAAGATTTTATCTATCTATCTACCTATCTAGCTATCTATCTATCTATCTAGGGGAAAGGAGGAAGAAAGAGAGGGAGAGAAATATCAGTGTGAGAGAGAAATATCCATCAGTTGCCTCTTGCAGCCGCCCTGACAGGGATCGAACCTGCAACTCAGGCATGTGCTGACTGGGGGAAAATCAACTTTTTGCTTTATGGGAAGATGCTCAACCAACTGAGCCACACCAGTCAGGGCTGTTTTTTCTTTTAAACTATACAATTAAAAGCCTGAGGGGTTTCACAGGGGAACACTGGGAGAATGTGCAAACACAGCTTTGGGTTCCCATTTTTACTACAATGAGGTTAAATTCTGCTCTCACTTATTTTATATTTAGGACACCGAATGTAAGCTTTCATTTGCACAAAGGGCTCCAGGCTAACAGTCTGAAAGCAACAGAATTAGTGAGGTACATTTATTTGCTTTGATCCAGAGACTAAAGCTGTTTTGATAACACTGGTCTAGCTTTCCTTTACTGGTCTTTAGTAGCTACCTTTACTAGAGAGTAAAATACAAGCAATTTTTTACTTCCCGATCAGTCTTAGGATCTGGAATACTACTATCATTGATTGCTTTTGAGCAATGAACTCCTCTTGAGAACGAAATTCCCTATTACAGACCACCTGAGGAACACAGAAAGATACTTCAGTAATCACCTTTGCTGTGGTTCAGGAATTCTTCTGTGAATATAGGGATGTCAAAAACAGACCGCTCCTTTACCTCTGTTTCTTTCTGTGAATCAAGAGTAACAAAACAGTATGGTCAAGATGGTAGAATACGTAAACACTCTGCTTGCCTCCTCCCATGACCACAAACAAATTAAAACTAAATTATAGAATAACCGCCCTTGAGAACCACCTGAAGACTAGCTGAATATAAGTCCTGTAACTAAGAATATAAAGAAGGCACATCAAGCCTGGTAAGAGGGGCTGAGACATGTAACAGACAGGTTCCACACTAATGTGTGACAGTTAAGAATTGGGAGGGATAGGATATCTTGGATTTGGAGGTCCCCCTTATAGATTGAGGGGTCCCAGCCCCACACCTGGCACTCCAGCCCTGGTCTCCAGAGCTGGGAAGAGAAGTCCCCATAACTTCTAACTGTAAAAATCAGCACAGATTGTGGCTAAGTAAGATGGAGGTTTCTGGAGTCCCAGTTTCTCTTAAGAAGCCTGTACAGGGATTTACGCAAAATCACTCACTCTGAAGCTCCAAAAGTGTCAGGGACATACAGGGAGGAACGGAATTGTCCGGCTTCAGGGCAACAGCTGGAGGGGCAGCTTTCTCCCAGATAGAAGTGCTGGCAGAAGCCAATGTTCCTTTGCTGAGTCCTTTCCCACTTAGTATCCAGATGTTGGCAGGCACTAAATCTGAGTCTCCATCAAACTAACCCAACCCGAGGGATTATCTGAGAACCCAAAGAACCCAAATAGCACACAGGTCCAAACCCCTTAAAACAGGTGTTCCTCGTGTGTGGCTGGTCTTGGCCAGTGCTGTGGGCTTCTCTAAAAATCTCTGAAAGGTCCAAAACCTCAGACAAACATCAGTTGGCCTCAGCATGCCCTGTACCTATGCTAAGTAGTTTCCCAGCCTGACAGTAGTGGCAGTCAGCCTAAGTTTGTAATGTGGCCTCTCCCAGGCATTTCCTAGTCCAGCACAGGGAGCTATCAATTTCAGATCACGTTGTAGCTCCTGCCATGTGGCTCTAGGTCAGACACAGGGAGAAGCTCACCAGGAACTGCACTGGAGCCCCTCTCAAGAGGTCCCAGAACCAACAAACCTGGCAGCTGGCCTCAGATCACACCAGAGTGCCACCTCAATTAGCTCCAAAAATGACACAACAAAAGGGTAGACAAGCAGGCAGTAGAGCTCTGATACAGAAATCTAACTCTAAGAGGTCAATCTTGCACAACAGCTCATCTGCTGTAGTCAGGGCTAGTCCTTATAGCCAGTCAGGCTAAGGGTCAATGCCAGTCACTGATGTGCTCCAATACAACAGGCTGGCACACACAACTCACATAAGCAACACCCCTGGAGCACTCAACTCAAGTGAACAAGGGGGTCTGTACTGCTGGGCTCCACAGCATACCCATTACATAAGGCCACTCTGCCAAGGCTGAAAGACACAACATATCTACCTAATAGATACAAGCAAACACAAGGAGGCAGACAAAATGAGAAGACAAAGAAACATGTCCCAAATGAAAGAATAGGACAAATCTCCAGAAAAAGAACAAAACAAATAGGAAAGAGTAATCTATCAGCTACAGAGTTCTAAACACTGATTATAAAGATGTTCACTGAACTTAGGTAAAAATAGATGAACACAGTGAGAACTTACACAAAGAGATAAAAAACCATAGAAAAGATCCAGTCAGAAACAAAGAATATATTAGAGGGAAAAAACAGGTTAGATGAAGCAAGTTCAAATCAGCACTTTAAAAGACAAGATGGCAGAAAACACCCTATCAGAACAACAGCAACAAAAAACAATAAAATAAAAATAGGACAGTTTAAGGGAACTCTGGGACAAAACCAAGTGCAATGACATAAGCAGCAGAGGAGTACCAAAAGAAGAGAGCAATGGGTTGAGAACTTACTTAAAGAGAGACAATCAGTATCATATGAAAATTTAAAGGGTCTTCTTGGCAATAAATATGTATCTATCAACAATTGATTCTAAAAAAAGTAAACAAACAAGCAGAATAGAAACAATCACAGATAGAGAGAACGTTTTCATGGTTGCCAGATGGGGGTGCTGGAAGGGTGGGCAAAAAAGGTGAGGGGATTACAAAATACAAATTGGTAGTCAGAGAATAGCCATGGGGATGTAAAGTACAGCATAGGGAACAGAGTAGCCAAAGAACATATACGCAGGACCCATGGACATGGACAACAGTGTGGGGTTTGCCTAAAGAGGGGGAGTGCTGAGTAGAGGGGGCAAAGGGTGAAAAACTGAGAAAACTGTTATAGCATAAACAATAAAATATAATTAAAAATGGCAAACTACGAGACTGTCCGGAAAAAGTCCAGCCATTGTTATAACAAGAATAGTTTGCACAACATTTATGTAACCTGGTGGCCAAGGAGAGTGGACTGGTATGTGTGTGTGTGAACAATGATGACTCCACTGTACCAGTCAGTCAGTGGGGGTGGTAGATGCTGTTGACTGAGTATGTGCACTGTGTGGCTGTCACATTCAAAATAACTGAGTGAGTAGAGCAATGACTCTGCATGAAATTTTGCGTTAAGCTTGAACATTCCTCCATGGAAACTATCTGGATGATTCAGGAGGTTGCACCTATGGGCAACAAATGACGGGCACCTTCATCATAACAATATGTCTGCTCATACATTATATCTTGTGCAGAGTGTTATGGCAGAACATCAAATCACCCAGGTGACTCCATCCCCCTACAGCCCAGATTTGGAGCCCTGTGACTTCTGGCTTTTCCCATAACTAAAATCACCTTTGAAAGGGAAGGGATTTTAGACCATCAATGAAATTCAGGAAAATATGATGGGGCAGCTGAAGGCAACTGGGAGAACTGTGTGAGATTCCAAGGTGCCCACTTTGAAGGGGACTGAGGTGTCATTGTCCTATGTACAATGTTTCTTGTTATCTTCAATAACTCTCTCTAGTTTTCACATTACATGGCTGGATACATTCTGGACAGACGTTGTACATACCTATCAATAATTACTTTAGAAGTAAATGGACTAAATGCTTCAACTTAAAAGACACAGGGTGGCTGAATGGATAAGAAAACAAGCCCAACATATGTTGCCTACAAGAGACTTACTTCAGGTGAGAAGACATGCACAGACATGGAGGGAAAGAACAAGATATTTCATGCAAATGACAATAAAAAAACATAACTGCAGCAGCAATACTTATGTCAAACAAAACAGACTTGAAAACAAAGGCTGTAACAAGAGACCAAGACATTAAATATTGATAAAGGGATCAATCCAAAAAGAGGATATAGCCCTTATAAACACTTAAGCACTTAATGTAGGAACACCTAATATATAAACCAAAAACTGATAGAAAAAGAGATTGATAGTAATACAATCATAGCAGAAGACTTTAACTACCCACTGATATCAATGGATAGATCATCCAGTCAGGATATCAACGAGGAAACATCAGCCTTAAATGCTAGATCAGATAGATTTAACTGACATTCGTAGAACTTTTCAACCCAAAGCAGCAGAATATACATTCTGTTCAAGTGAACATGGAACATTTCCCATGACAGACCACATGTTAAACCACAAAACAAGTCTCAGTAAATTTAAGAAGACTGATATCATATTATTTTCTCTGATCACAATGCCATGAAACTAAAAATCAGTTGCAAAAAAGACAACTAATAAACACAGAAACATATGAAGGCTAAGTAACATACTACCCAGCAGTAAAAGAGTTAACAAGATCCAAAAAGATATCAAATGATTCCTTGAGACAAATAAAAGTAACACAACCCCAAATCTCTGGGACACAGCCAAAGCAGCTCTAAGAGGAAAATTCGCAGCAATATAGGCCTACCTCAAAAACAAAAAAAAAATCTCAAATAAACAATCTGATCTTATACCTAAAGGAACTAGTAAAGAAACAACAAACACAATTCATAATGAGTAGAGCAAAAGAAAATAATAAAGACCAGAGTAGAAATAAATTAAACAGAGTCTAAAAAAAGCAATAAAAAGTTTAATGAAATCAAGATCTGGTTCTTAGAAAATACAAACAAAATTAATAACCCTTTAAGTGACTCATAAAGAGAAACAGTAAGAGCCTAAATAAATAAAATCATATATGAAATTTAAAAAATGGCAACTGACACCACAGAAATGCAAAGGATGATAAGTGAATACTATGAACAGTTATATGCCAACAAATTGGACAACCAGGAAGAAATGGATAAGAGCCTAGAAGCAACCAATCTTCCAAGACTGAATTAAGAAGAAACAGAAAACTGAATAGATTGCTAACAGTAACTACTAACAAAATAGAATCAATAATCAAAGAACTCACAACAGACAAGAATGTCCTGGGGACAGATGGCCTCACAGGTGTATTTTACTAAACATTTGAAGGAATTAACACCTATCGTTACTAACCTCATTTTACGAGGGGCTAGCATTACTCTGATTCCAAAACAAGACAAAGACATTACAAAAAAATTATAGACTGATATCTCTGATGAACATAGACACTAAATACTCAATAAAATATCAACAAACTGAATTCAGCAATGCATTAAAAAGATCCAACACCAGTATGAAGTAGCATTTATTCCTGGGATTAATAATATTCCGAGGTTGTTTCAATATCCAGAAATCAATAAACATGATACACAAACAAAATGAAGAATAAAAATAATATAATCTTACCAATAGATCCTTAAAGAGCACTCGACAAAAATCCAGCATTCATTTATGATAAAAAAAAAAACTCACAGCAAAGTGGGACTAGAAGAAACATGCTTCAACATTATAAAGGCCATGTATTACTAACAGGTGACATCAAACTCAACGGTGAAAGGTTAAGTCCATTTCCCTTAAGATCAGTAACAAGAAACAAGAGATAGATGTCCATTTTCACCACTTCCATTCAACATAGTATTGGAAGTCCTAGCCACAACAACCAGACAACAAAAAGAAATAAAAGCATCCAAATTGGAAAGGAAGAAGTAAATTTGTCACTCTTTGCAGATGGCATGATATCA